TGCCTTTTTAGTTAAGCAACTACCATTTATGGTGAAAGGAAGGGGAGGGTTCATTTATTTACAGAAAAAACTAATCTTAGATAAAGTTACAATGGGGTTATTTACAATATTTACAGTATCGAAATGGGCCTGAAGCCTTTATTTACAGTTATGGGGTTTTATAATAAGTATACAGTGGGTACCTACTTAAAAAAAATGATAAATATTTTGCACTGAGTAGTTTTGGCCACTCGAATAATGATCATTCTCAAAAGGTTTTTCATCACATTTTCGTAACAATCTGGAATGGTGTTTTGTGCATTTCAGCAAGTAAAGAGTCCCATTCACGTTTAGATCGGTATCGATACATGTTTCAAGTATCAGTATCTTGATACAAATTTCATTGTGTATTTGTCTGTCTCAGTATTAGATGGTATCGCCGAAGTCGGTAACTTCGATACCGAACGCATGCAACTAATACTTGTTTCAACGTTGAAGTTTAGTATGTATCGCGGTAATAAGATATAAACAGTGTTGTTTCCAACATGGAAGATCATGAGTTTTGAATTTATTTAAATAATATCTATGTTGATTGAACTGAACTTGTGACTGAACTAATGTTTCCTGAGCTCATCTCAACGTGTAGGAGCAGTTGAAACATGAATACAAATCTCAGATACATGTTGCGAAACATGTATCGATACCGATCTCAACGTAAATTGAATGGGGCTCTTTGATGGAAGGATTTATTTTTTTCAATTTTATAATACCTAATCATCCTTGAGTTTGAGCTACTTTCAGTTAAGCATAATGTTTGGTATTAGACTTTAAGCATTTGGCTGTAGATGTTTCCAATGACAATTAAAGTTGTGTTTCACTGATTATCCAGGGCAACAAATTATGATTTGATTATTTTTTTTTGGTAAATGGTGTCCCCTGGGGAGGCCGTCCACCATAATAGGTTAGGATCCCATTTGTTGCACGATTACACTATATAAGGTAAGTGTAGCAGTGGGGCACTACCGAATACCGGCGAGAAATGGTTGAATTATGGTTTCATGTGAATTCAACCTAATGGAGACTTTAATAGAATAGCTGAATGTTCTTCAACTTTGCCAGGCAAAATTGCTTTTGTGTTTTCTAGATGAAGTGTTAAGGGATCATGTTCTATATTGTAACTGAAATGAAATGGTCACGCCTTTAAAGAAAGAGGGTAGTTTCTCATTTTAGAAAAATCATTAGGGGGGCAAGCCTCCAAAACAGGAGGGGTTATATTGGAAATAGGATATAGGACGACAATTGAAACAAGATAATGTTTTTATATAGAATCTTCAATTCGACGCAGAAAGGTAACGTCATACACCAACTAAAGTTTTAAGGAGAATAATATTAACACCAAAAAAAATATGATAGGTAAACCCTACCAAACCATCTTTTCTACCAAATTCTATAACATCTTATTTATTGAGGTACAAAGAGGGATTTAATTTTAAAAGGTTTTTTAAGGTAGACTGTCTAGACTTATCTGCATAATTTATTTATTTATTTATTGTCTCTCTGGAGACTCTATTTTGAATATACGTGTTTAATAAAGAAGCACCTATTTTACAATATGCAATAGGATGTATTTTTGTTGTATTAATAATCCAACAGGTTACATATTTAAGATCTTCATAATAGTATTTTTTATCTAGGAAATATTCCTGATTGCTACTTTTCAAGTCAGACAGCAATAGCTCTCTGTGAATCAGACTCTAGCAATTTCCCAATTCCAAATATAATTTTAGAAACGCAAATTTTTGTGGATTTGTATAACCGATTCAAAAACCAAAACTGGAATTGTCTCGAGAATTTAATTGATGTTAACTTAGTAGTAGGAAAGTTTTATTATATAGCTTATAGTACCTATATTCCGTGATTGTATACCAAAATCCACCCAAGTACCCTGTTTGGTTCAATGGAGAAATTATTAATCCCACTAAATTGAAACGTAAATATTTTTTAAAATTTAAACGTTTTGGGTCCTATTTCTGGGGTAATAAGTATAGGGCCCTGCAAAAGGAGCTTTAATGTAAAATTGGTGTAGCACATAAAAGGTAGGTATTTGCTGGATATGGAGAGTAGCTTAATGTTAAATCCTAGGTATTTTTGGTCGTTTTTAAAAGGCCAAAAAAAGATTCAAGACATCATGAGGAGATGAACTTGGGAAATTGCTCATGCAAAGGAACTCAGTCTGTGACTGAAGGCTTTGCCTCATTTTTTAAATCTGTGTTTGTGAATGATGATACGTCTGAATGTATTTGTGAGCTGTCTGAAATAAAGTAGTATTTTTGTGATGTGTTAATATCCGATGAAGAAATTTTGAATGCTATCAAGAGAATGAAAGCTAATAGGTCCGGATGGTCTTTGGTTAAACCATTGAAATTTATTTTCATTTTAAGCCTGAAATCTTCCATTTATCCTGATCAATGGAAATCTAGTAAGGTAATTCCAATTTATAAAAGTGGACCTAAAAAACAAATCAAGAACTATCGTCCGATTAGCATTATGTGTGCTGTGTCTAAAATTTTCGAGAGAATCAAATCACACAATTTCAGCATGGATTTCTACCAAAACGATCTACTTGCACTAACTTAGCTGCATTTTCCCAGTTTGTTCATGAGTCGCTGAAGAAAAAATCTCAGGTGGATGTAAGTTATACAGATATGGAAAAGGCATTTGATGAGATTAGGCACTGTATATAATTGTGAAAGCATTGATGGATATGGATGTTCCCCCTTATTCAATTAATATTATTAAATCCTACTTCTTAAAAGGAACCAGTATGTGGAAATAAAAGGATGTAAGTCTGTAGTCTATGAAAGTACATGGTGTGATAGAAATGGATTTACAATGAATGTTGATAAGTGTTTCTGTATGTCGTTCTCGTTAAATCATAATGTTTATAATAATCCATATAGTATAAAGGATGTTTTGTTAGGGTAAGCTCTCAACGTGACTTGGGTATAATTTTTGATACAAATATGTCACTTAATGTCCATATTATAGTAACTACGATACCAGGATGCACAGAGAATAATGGGATTTGTGATAAGAAATACCAAAAATTTTAGAATTGACGTCATAGTCTAGGAGGCAGTGAAGATTTTCGGCACTAATTTTCCCAGTCAGACAACATGGATAAAATTGTAGGGTTAGTAATTCTAAGCAAAATGCATATATTTTTAGGGGTTGGTTTTCCGATGGGTTGAGGCGCAAAATGCGTTAGAGCTTAAGAATGCACGGCCTTTTTTTTTTCCAGTGATAAAAATAGGTCTACTAATGAGAAGTATATTGAAGTTACGTGAAAAAATAGTCCGGCTAATCTGTGAGTATGGATAATACGTCTGGCAAGTAAAAAATTGAAGATCCAAAAATTTCAACCAGACTCACTTTCCACTATCTGGGATAAGACAAATTGCTATTTTCATATACCTTATGTTCTATTAGAGTGAATGTGAAATATTTATGACTGGGAAAATAAGTGTTCTTGTATTTTTCATTGATCTTGTGAACCCATCCGAAAATTTTTGCGAAACTCAAATATTCTTATTTTGTATCACCAAGAGAACAAACTATTTATTATATACCAACTGGGAAAATAAGTGCTAAAAAATTTCACTGCCTCCTGGACTATAAGCCTTAAGCTCTTTGACACTTTAGTGCTCCCTAAACTAGAGTATAATAGTATTATATGGTTACCACAGTATAATGTATGGATATCATTTATTGAGGGAATACAGAGAAAATTTCTAAAGTATATGTTTTTTAAGAAGTTTGGTTTCCATCGTCGACAGAGCTGTGATAATAGAATTCTATTACGTTTGTTCAATAGGATGCCTTTGGAATGTCGTAGAACAAGAGCATGTTTGTGTTTAGGTTGATAAAGGGACAGTCCTGATATTCTTGGTCAATTACCGTTTGTAGTAAATAGAGTGAACGTTAGAGATGAGAAAGTGTTTTACCTGGATTTCCCTAGAACAAATTTATTTTATGTCATACCAATACATTATTGTGTTTTTATACCTTGGATACCATCTACATAATTCATTACTTTATGCCCGTGCGGGCATAAAGTACACATTATGGCCCGCGCGGGCATAAAGTACACATTATGGCCCGCGCGGGCATAAAGACGCAAAAAACAGTTTTCAATTAACTTATTCTTTATTAACAAAATATAAATTTACGCTTATAAACATATTATTTTTGTCAAAAAATTATGATGTTTGCACACTGATGACAATTTGGGAAGTGACACATTTTGTCCTAGGTATTTATTATTCACAACCAACTGGTATGACATAAAAGTTTGTATGCACCACGGGTACTAATAGATAATATACCCTCGGGTGACTTACGAACCCTCGGGCCAGAGGCCCTCGGCTTTGTAAGACTGTCGCCCTCAGGGCATAATCATCTACTTAGTACCCTTGATACATAAATAACTATAACCAATCACCTATATATCAGATATGTCAAATGTTTAAAAAGTATGCTTCTGACGTATATAGATATAGACATGATTGGCTTAAGGAATTTTAAGAAAATTGTTGATGATAAATTAGTGTCTGAATTTTTGTTGTAATTTGATTTTAACTCTTGTATTTTTATATTGTATTTCTAGACTAAGCGAGTGTCTATAATTGGCTGTTTGTAACTGTTGATACTTATGGTATAGATAAATAAATAAATAAATAAATAAAAACTACAAATTCAAAACAATTAATATATGATATTTCAACACTGTAGGTACTCGTTTCATTATTATATTATTTGTGAAAATATATTGTTCGTAAAAATATAATACTTTGTACATTGTACATCGTTTCCTAATCTAACAAGCAATGCAATCAAATCATACAATTCTATGTTAATTGTATGAGTTGGCTGGGAACATACAAATTGCAGGAACTGAAAAATTTACTCGATTCAAAATCCCGATAATAGGAATCTTCAAAAAAATGCCTATAGTTACTTACCATTTTGTGAAATTACTAAGGTCAAGCACGACAAAATCACAAAAACACAAAACTTGGACACACCACTAGCTAATCCAGTCCGAATCCACATGTTCACTCCATTGATGGTACAAACTAATTCCGAATAAGTGTTGTCCTAGTTGGCCGAGCCTTGCATAGATATAATTGGTTTGTGTAATGGCAGATTAACATATTCCTGATTAATAAAACAGCTAGTTCGTCTGGTACATTTCGTTATAATGGCATCATCTTTTCATTCGACAATTATTCACAAATTATCCTAAAATAGACGCACCATTGATATTTGAAAAATCTTTGGCCTAACTAATGTGCCCATGTAGGAACAATATTGTATTCAGGATTTTGTATGCGGTTAGAGGTAAAAGTAACGGTTTGTTTTGTGAATACATAGAGATAATCAGCCTGATTAGAATAAGTAACATTAACCCGAAAACCAATTATTAACACTAAAATTACGGGGCGAGAAAAGTGTCTTAACTTAATTAGCGTCTCGTCTTCTGAGTAGCACACAGGCGCAACATTAAAAAAAAAACAAAATGTTAAATAAATTAGGACAAGATATGGAAGCGGAATATTATTAAAAGGCATTTTTTTGTAAATTATGAGCCTTGGAACGTTTAAATTCAACATGGGCGTAGATGTCAGTACAAAGTAAATCTTATTTAAGAAATTGATATAAATTGAGTTTGACTTAAAAAGAGTTTGCAGCATCTTTTCCAAATATAAATTTTATTTTATTCAATCTGGAAAATGGCTATAAGGCAAATTTAAGAAAGTTTTTTAATTACTTTCCCAAAAGGGTTTTTGTAATCATTTATTCAAGCGTTTGTAGATAGGTAATCAAATCGACAACCCAATAAGGATTAAAAATCATTTTTGATTTTAATTAATATTTGCAAAAGAAGGACGCCTCTTTGAAAGTAGGTAAGAATTTACACAAGCAAAGAATTATTAAAATTTGCCTCTTTTGAAATGTCATCTAACTAGGGTTGCAAAACTTTCTAGAGAAGCAAAATTTAGTGCCTGTTTGCATCTGTTATAATTATTATCAAAGAGAGTTTGAATGCCGTGATTTGTTAAATCGATTTACCAGCAGCTTGCCTATTAAATTATTATCACTGTGCATGTGTTGGTGTGGTTTAAGTAATTTACTTCCTACGAGCTTTGAGTTTACGAAGTAAATTATTGAACTGAAAAAGAGCCAAACGTACATCTATAGACTATTGGAGGCTGTAAATTAAATTATTTTTGGTTCAATGGTTCTCAAGGGATTAAGTTGAGGAATATTAATCAATTAAAACTTTCGCTGCGTTGTGCCTTCACTAAATAAACTCCTAAGTTCATTAGAAAGGTAAAACAATGTATCATTTTTTTTCTTTAGAATTTTGGAAGGCCTGGCTGAAAAGTTTTAGATATAATCTTCTTCTTTTAGAAGTTTTAATCCAATTAAAATCCTACTATGGTGAAAAGAACACACATTAAGTTATTTTATTGACGCATTGTACTAGATTTCAAAGGAATTTTTCAATTAATTGATTGAAACTAATATGGGTTAAATTTATGCGTGAGCCAGTGTCGCTTGTCCTTCGAAATTGGTGTGGTTAATTTCTCTGGAATGTCTTTTTAATAGTAATAATTTTATATTCTATTAAACGCACACTTGACCAACACAATATTTTGGCATGACATGTAATAAGTCTTCAAGAAATGCCTAGAGCCTGCATAGTAATTCAGAGATATTAATAACATTTATGTTCCAGAATATATGATAAAGGACCTAGTACCAATTATGGTGAATTTCCATCACCTAGGCAGACCTGTAGGGGGAAAAACATGCTACTCCTAGTGGGTCGACGTTAGTGCACAACCAAGGGGCAAACCACCTAGGAATTCTCTGCCAATACTGTGGGGAATTTAGAGGAATTTGTGGGGAATTTGAAGGAATTTATGGAAAATTTAAGGAATGTATGAGAAATTGAGGGAATTTATTGGTTTTGACACTGAGCGTGATAAAAAATACATTCCTCATCACGAATAATTTGGGGAATTTTCAGGAAATTTGTAAGAGACATTTGCAGGGAATTTGCGAGCAGTTTGGAGGATTTTTGGGTGACTTCTGAGGATTTTGCGGTAAGTTTGGAAATTGTTTACACAAATTCGGAGGGGTGGTTTACTCCATAGATCTTGTTCACCTTGGTGAAAATCAAAGTACTCAAAAAAACCGCGAAATAATCTTTGAAGCTTGAACAGCTAAAAGCTATTCAAGCTGCATTGAAATTATCCACTAAGGGGTTGTAGAGGATTTAATTCGCTTTATGTCAAACGTATTTATTACGTTACGATCGGATTGAAATTCACGCAGCAATGAGTGTGTCAATGTCATTTTGGAAAAAATCATGAAAGATTGGCTTGAAAGTAGATGAAGAAAGGATTAAAATTTAAGAAAGAAAAATAAAAATTTGCTGTTACACGCTCGCTTTGATGAAAAATTGAAAATCAAAGTCGAAAAGCTTTAAAGCTTTGAAGCTGCACAAAACTCTTGAAGCTGCATTGAAAATATCCAATAGAGATTTATAGAGGATTTCAACGTCATTTCAAGAGCGTTAAGATCGGATTGAAATTAACAATTTTTTTTGAGGAAACTGTCTGAAGGATTGGCTTGAAATTTTGCAAGTGGATGAAGAAAGGATTGAAATTTAAAAAAAAAAAATTTTGCTTCTACGCGTTCACTTTGATAAAAATCAAAGTGAAAAAACTTTAAACCTTCACAGCTAAAAACTATTAAAGTGCCTCAAAATTATTTACTGAGGATTTGTAGAAGATTTAATTGGCTTTAATTCAAGCTTAATGACGTTGAGATCGGATTGAAATTAACAAAGTTGTGAGGCAAAATATGTGTCAATGTCATTTTAGAAGAAATCAAGTTTCCGAAAAATTACATTGAGGGAAGTTTTTTTTTTTTTTTTTTGTAGAAAATGTTTCAGATATTCGATGGAAATTTTGCAAGTGAATAGAGAAAAGATTGAAACTCAGGAAAATTCCTTCTGATCGTCTTAGATCTGATCGTTCACCTTCAAGGAGCAAACCACCTAGGAATTCTTTGCAAAAACTGTGGGGAATTTAGAGGAATTTGTGGGGCATTTGAAGGGTTTATGGGAAAATAAAGGAATGTATGAGAAATTAGGGAGTTCGTAATAAGAATAAAATTTAAAAAAAAAAATCCTACGAGCGTGCGCAAAGTAGTACTTTTCCGCACGCATTTCCGTGCTCAAAGTAACACTTTTCCGCACTCAGTGCGGATACAGGCCTTATCCGCACTGAGTGCCGAAAAGTAAAAATAATTGTCAAGCAACAATAAGTGCACCTGTCGACTTTGACACATGATGACAAATTTTTCCTCTGTTTCTATATCAGCCAACATCAATAAAAACACCAAATATAAATTAACCTTGACACATTGTCAGATTTGTTCTCTATTTATATGCAAGAATCTACAAGCTTTATCATCAAATTTAAACGCTTTAAGATGAACAACTCTGACGAGGATTTTGTTATTTGTTTTGTTGTTGTTGGTAATTTTTTGATAAATGTATAGGTTCGCTTCAAGTTAATAAAAATAATTGAACAAATTATCGTTTTTTTTTTAAATTTTTCTTGTTACTTACCTGATATGAAGCTCGTAGGAGAAATGTTGTTCCTAACACGTGCGCAAAGTGTCTTTTCCGAAAAGTAACACTTTGCGCACTTGTTAGGAAAATAACTATTTTCTACGACCTTGCAATTTTGCCCACTTTCCCGCACTCATTTTAAGTCAGAAAGTGTCACATTCCCGCACTGAGTGCGGGAAAGTTACTTTCTTTGTAACAAAACTACCTTCATTACCTGTTTTTTACCAGTCATTTTTTGTACGGGCGTGTTCTTTTTTCCACCACATAGAGAAATATAATAAACCAAGTTTAAGAGTTACCGATTCATATGCGCTAAGTGGCAACGTCTTTCTTGTAGCACATGGTGGCGCTAGTATAGCTTGGAACTATCTGACAATTCTGACATCGCCTCCCATTCTTATATCTGTCCCTTTTTAACAGATGTGATAATAAAGAAAGAGAGGACATAGGGTTTTTCATTTATTGTACATTGCGATTTCCAACCTATAAAATGACATTTTCTTTTTTCAAAACTGACACAAATTTTATGCACAAATGAGTGAACCTAAAATAGACCTGTCTCGTATAAATAGAAAAAGAGAGCTTAATTGTAATAAATACAAGTTAGAAAGTAATAAAAGATGACATGCGCGCGCAATTCGTAGGTGCACTTAGCCAGATTGTATTGTAGCAGAACAAATGTAGACAATACAAATCCCATATTATAACATTAAAGAAGTGATATAGTGTCAAGTGTTTTACAACGCCTTAAATCAGATAAAAGAAGCGCTTGAAAAGTGTATGTTAACATCGTTTGCACTTTTATTTTGATAAATGTTTCATCCGGCAACATCGCACAATGAAATTGCAAAGGAATATGTCAAGTATAATTTAACATAACCTTAAACGACACTGCGGTGAGTTCAAGTAATATGTAAAGTATTAGTTTGCTCTTTGTCGAATTACACGTTACAAAGAAAGAAGGAATGATTCATTCTGAACTGGCTCCTGAATAAGAATATGACGTAAGCCTGTAGGAAACCTGCTTCTCATTGGACGCTCACCTGCAGCCTACAAGCGACGCGCGCAGTCCAGGTAATAGGAGATCGGTCTATTAATTAGTTTATTAAAAATACATGATTCTGGTAAGATTTACAATGTGAAAATCGTTGAGTTCATGCATAAATAATAATAATTATTGAATACTAACCTATTATTAGTGAAAAGTGAGATGTTTTGGCTGTTTTTGCTTTTTTTTTGTTGTAATCTTGCGGTATTTGTATAATTTAATTTTTATTTCTTCATTTACGTTGTTCATGTATATGTATTTTGTTTCTATAAGTATTTTCTTTGTTAATTGCGAAAGATCAAAATATATAAAAATAGATTCTTTCATGAATATTTTTTGTTTATTTATTTTTGT